CTAGAACATGGTGATCGGCTGATTAGGATGACAGACGTCAACATGCTCCCTGTGCTCATGTGTACAAGCATTCAGCTTTCACACAGACCCATGAGTTGAGAACCCGGCGACAAACTGCGAGCGAGAGCTTGTCATTCCTACGTTGAATGTTACAGCCATCATCAGCCCTCAAAAATCTGAACCTACCCTGCAAAATTCTCCTCACCAGCATGAGCTTTTTCTAGCTGATCCGTTTCACACCCCTCTACTCCATCCCACATACACTCAGACTGCCCATTTCCAATATTTCTTGGCGCTGCTCTTTGAACAGCTGATCTCAGGGACAAACAGAAACAGAAGGTGTGAACCTTTTTATCATTGCTCAGAGTGTTTAGGAAACGCAGAAGGGTAACAGAGACACCAGGGACTCAGGGTAATGCATAGGGTGAAAACATAACCCCTTTTTCCTACCTGCTTGGAGGCTCAAATTCCTTAAAACCGGGGTCTCAAGTTTCCCGAAGTTGCCTCATCCTTCCTACCTAAGGTTGTGTTACAAAGTCCAACCAACCTTCCTACCTTTGAAACCTGTGGACCCTGGGTTTTAATAGGGCCTGCACTTGCTGGATGTGACCAAATTTGGTTGGCAGCAGCTACAGTTGGGGTTGACTACGAAGAGGAAAAGCCAGCACGGCTCTGGACAGGAATTTCCCAGCGAGCCTTGAGTGACAAGACGTGGACTTTCAGCATTGTCGTCTTGACTCCAAATAGGAAATGACAGAATTGAAGATTTGTTCTGCTTGTCAGGCAGACATGCATCCTGCGTAAGGGCAGGGCACAACAGGTTTCCCCTAGATTTATCTTCCCAACAGGACCTTTGCTTACAGCGCGGATAGTTCTCACCTTGACGCGCGAGCGCGGAGTGCCGGACTGTTGTAGCGCAACCAGCGTGGGCATCACCCCCTCCTCGAGAATCTCGTCCCGCCGGCTCTCGTCTTCCGCCAGCATCAGCAGCGCCGCCACCGCGTCCTCCTTTCCGCGCGCGGATCCACTTTCCAGCGCTTCAACCAGCGGCGGAATTCCCCCCGCCACCTGAATCGCTGCACAACCCGCCGGCGATTTCGCGATATTCACGAGAACCGCCGTGGCTTTTTCCTCCAATCCCGAGCCGTATTCTTGTAACATGGCCAGTAACTTTGGAACTACACCCGCAGACATTAGCGAAGCACGGTTCTTTTCCGATAGGGATAAGTTAAACAAAGCCAGAGCCGCATCTTTTCGCCCGCGAAGCGACCACGGCTGTGGCGAAAGCATCGCCGTCAGCCCTGCGATGGCTCCCGGCGTCGATCCAACGAGTAACTTATTCGCATCGGACGACGACGTTATCGCGAACAGGGCAGCTGCTGCGTTTTCCTGCGCCTGCTGCGAAACCGCCAATCTCACTTCATCCATTCCGTTTCCGCCCGCCGCGCCTGCTGTCGTGAAATTCTCCCCCCACTGCCGCTCCCCTGCTCTGGACCCTGCGACGCTCGGCGACGAGACGGGCGACGAGCAGCACGACGCGGCGGCGCCGCCTGAGAGCACCGCGACGAGCGCGGGAACGACGCCCTGGCCAATCAGCGGCGCGTGCGATGACGACGTCAACGAGAGATTAAGAGTCGCCGTGACCGCGTGCTCGACTGTCGCCTTGTCCTCGCTCCAGAAGAGATTAATCAGCGCGGACAGCACGCCTCCGCCCGCCGCGACAACGCTCTCGCGGTTCGCGCGCGAATCCTTCACCATCATGCGCAGCTCCTCTGCCGCGTTGCGCTGCCGCTCGCGCACTAGGAGCGCCTCCCCGCCCCCCGATCCCCCCCGCCCCCCGCCCACGCCCTGCATCTGGCGCACGAGTTCCGGTATACGCAACCGCGCGTGCTCCTCCTCTTCAGTCCGCACCATCCCCGCTCTGCTTCCGCCTGGCGCGCGCTCCTTCTGGCTCTGGCTCCGCGCGGCCGCGAGGTCTCCGCCGCGAGTGAGCGCGCGCTCGCCCGCGCCGACCTCGCCCGGGGCGCCCTCGCGCTCCGGCGGCGCGGTGCCATGCTGCCGGCCTAGGAGTAAAGACCGGCTGTTGGAGCTCGAGTCGCAGGTGGAGGAGCGCGCGAACGTTAGGTACATATCTCGCGAAGAGAACCGGCTAACCGTCGGGCTGCCGGACGCGTTAGTGACGTAGACGGACGCGACGGGGTGGTTTGGCGTCATGTACGCTAAAGCGGGATTCAATCCCGGCTGATGATGGCGGTCCGATTCATCCCCGTCGTGATCCCAGGAGATTAGAGAATGCGAATGCGGCGACCGCGCCGCGTGGTGGGGATAATCGTAGCGCATGGATTGCGAGCCTAGGGGTTGTCGGATGCGATTCGCCCGTCCGCCACCGGCGCCACTGTCTCTCTCCTGCGACGCCGGAGAGCCGGCGCCGTGACCGTGCGACACTTCCGCCTGCGACGCCATGGCGGCCTGCGACGCCATGCCGGCCTGCGACGCCATGCCGGCCTGCATCGCGAATTCGACCGACTGCGGCCCCGACCACTCGTCGCGGCGCGGCTGCGGCCCGCTCCACTCGTCCCTCCCAGGGTACTTATTCCAGTCGCGCCGCATGACGGGACTGCCGGTGCTCTTAGCAGGCGTGTAAGCGGGGGATGCGGAGGGGGATTGCGAAGATACCGAAGCCGACACAGGCCATATAGGGCAGCGGGGCGACTCGGACGGGCTCTGCTCGAACGAGCCGGTGGACTGTCGGCGCGCGTCGCGGCTGGCATTACTCGAGAGGGATCTCACAGGAGACGACGAGGACGGGTCGACGCGGAGCGCGGCTCGGCGATCTGGCTCGGCAGGCTGGAGTGTGCTAGGGTTGTTACGCTCGTCGGTGCCGAGCCTGATGCCGTTGCCGAGGCACCACGCGGAGATGACGCTGCGGAGGGAGTTGTTGGGCACGCAGGTAAAATTTTCGAGGTGCTGCCCGGTGACCGGGCACACGCGCTTCCCCTCGCCAAACCACTGCTCGATCTCCGCGCGTTCGAACGTCTGACCGGATGCGATTATAACGGGGTCTGTCATTATATCGAGGGACAGCGGGCAGAAAAAGTCACCCGGGACTGAGATTCGTTGCGCGCGAAGGTAGGAAAGCGGGTAGCGGCGGAAAGAGGGCGGGAACGCGTCGGAGTCTGTGGCTTGCTGGAGGAGCGACACGAGCTGTTGCTGAGTCAGCATGCCGCGAAGATGATGGTGATTGGTTGGCGGAGAGGAGGAGGGAGGCGGGGCCGGTGCTGATGGGTGCGGCGGGTGTGCGGAGTGGTGGTTCCTAGTGAGCGGGTTCCCGCGGTGTGCGCTTGCAGGGTTCACCTGTGGCGAAGCCATGAATTGGCGAGAAATGCAATAATATGATCAAACTTGGCCTAAGAATCGCCTACGCTGCGAGTTGTGGTAGTGTTTTTGCGCATCCTCCCTTGCTTCCATTGATAGCTAGTGCACACTAGGGCAACTAGAATCCTAGTGATGAGATGAGGACCAAGAAAGGCGTTGGGAGGGAGGGAGTTGATTGTGGGTGAAGGTGATGCTTGAGAAGAATGGTCATCTCATCAGCAGCCGAAAACCATCAACCGTTGGGCTCAGCGGGTACTGTAGTTTTGTATTGTGCCGACGAGTCAACACGGGGTTTGCGTTTGGAAGCGAGTGACGACGAACGAACGAACGAACGAACGAGCCATCCAGACCAGACCATACAGCAGATGCTGCAGGGAGCGAGCGAGTTGAGCATTTCAAGACGACGACACGAGCAGTCCTCCCCTCTCGTTTTTATCACTGCGCCTCACCCAGCCCAGACTGGGTGTCACGCCAAACAAACCGGGTAATGCAGAGTGTCGGACTGTATTTATCTCAAATACATCATTGCTGGAGCGGGTCCTCACTGAAGCAGCATTACAACCCACGTTATCTGGAGGCGACAAAGGGGTCCCTTCAAATTTAATTAAGTCTGTGCGCTTTGTGCCGTTTGCATTTGAACACTTCAAATGGATCTGATAACTCTGGTCGGGTGGATACCACTACAAAGTCCCATTGAAATTGAAGGCCTGAAATTGGGCATCATGTGCACAAACGACACCGGCCAAACCAGGCTGCCATGGCTTGCCTGTTGGTCAAGAACGACAAGGTTGTTGTAGGGTAATTTGGGGCAACGATTCGATGTCAAGCTTTCTCTGACTTGAGACTTTCCGTCCTGACCGTTTTCGCTCTTGGGCTGCCGTAGAAACTTCACCATCACAACCATCTTTACCGCGATTATCCCCGTAATCCATCACAACCATCTGTTACCGCGATTCAACTTGCTTTCACGAGCTTTCAACTGTTTAGGTTACACGGAGGAAGGGGCGGGCAGGGGGCGGGGTGAGAAAAAAACGAAAAGGAGTTGAGGGGTTGGGACGTGAAATACGCGTTGTGTGCGTTTCTGCGTGACGAACACAACACAGATTGTGAACATACAGACTGGAACCAACTAGTATAAATACTCGTACTACCCTATTAGCCACCGAACTGAAACAAAATTATTGTTTTTGCACCACCGCCATTACATTGGCAACGAAAAACAATAAAAACTCCACACCCCAGCAACAACACAGCAGCTTATTCCACACCGGACCATTCACTAGCAGACAGTATCAGCCCTGGTCCCTGCAGCAGCTCGGGATGCAAGCACTGATAGAGCAGAAAACACCCATGGTCCGTGTTACTCTATTTAACCTGCGACGAGCCGAAATATGTCTGCACCAGCGACTCATTTATCTGCTCCACGTTCTCATCATCTAGGTCAGCTCTCATCAGCAGTAGAAACTGCTTCAGCAGCAGCAATGGCACTGCCACCAGTAGCAGCAGCACTGGCAACCCCAGCACTACCACGAACAGAAGCAGTGGCAGGAGCACTAGCACCAGCAGCATCAGCACCCGGTCCCTGCAGCAACTCCGGCTGCAGACACTGATAAAACAGAAAATACCCATGATCCGTGTTACTCGAATAGTCCTGCGACGACCCAAAGTACGTCTGCACCAGTGATTCATCTATCTGCTCCACGTTCTCATCATCAAAGAACAACCAGTGACTGTGGCTCTTCACGAGCGCCACATAATGCCCGTGGTTGGGCCCGCTCCCCACGTGCACGATCACCGCGAAGAGGGAGTATTCGGCCTCGGCGCCGGGTGCGTCGTCGACGGTGTTGCACAGGCGCAGGTGGAGGGGGAAGACCACGCGGTAGGACAGCTTCTTGTAGCGCCCCAGCTGCTCCATGAACTTGAACCGCTTCAGGTGCAGGGCCAAGACTCTCGGTGGCACTTTGATTCGCATTCTCTTCTGCGCCTCCTGCAGGCTGGTGGGGGGTTGAAAGAGGGGAGGGAAGGGGCTGAGTGACGGGTGAGCAAGGGCTTCTTGTAGCGCCCCAGCTGCTCCATGAACTTGAACCGCTTCAGGTGGAGGGCGAGCACGCGCGGAGGCACCTTGATTCGCATCCACTTCTGCGCTTCCTGGAGACTGGTGGAGCAGTGGATGGGGAGGGAAGGGGGGAGAGGGGGTGAGGAAGGGCTTCTTGTAGCGCCCCAGCTGCTCCATGAACTTGAACCGCTTCGAAATAGCATGTTTACTTGATCCACAAGGCTCACTCACCCACCTCTACAAGGTAAATCCCACGCCCACCTCCAGCACGTGTCGCAGACAAACTTCTTGCTGCCTCTATAAAATTCTGGGATTCTCCAACCACCCCTCAAAATCGCAGCATGCGGACACGATAATAGCAGGTTGGCATGCTGATACCCCTCAAAACTCACCTGCAGCATTCCCACATGCTGAGAGCACGTGTCCCTATCCCACACCCACCTGCAGGTATCACAGAAGAACTTGTCGTTGCCGTTCAAAGTCTCTGTTGAGGAGAAGATGCTGACGTATTACCAGGATAACCTGTCTACTTGCTGACAGCCTTACAGGGTTCCCCACCCCATCCCATCCCACCCCATCCCACCCCACACCCACCTGCAGCAGGTGTCACAGAAGAACTTGTCGTTGCCATTCAGAGTCTCTGTAGAGGAGAAGTTGTGCAGACAGCTGGTGACACTGCCACCTGTTGACATACTAACAGCATGACCTGTCCGCATGCTGACAGCCCTACAGGGTTCCCCACCCCATCCCACCCCACACCCACCTGCAGCAGGTGTCGCAGAAGAACTTGTCATTGCCGTTCAGTGTTTCTGTAGAGAAGAAGTTGCGCAGGCAGCTGGTGGCACTGCCACCTGTTGACATAACAATATCATGTCCGCTTGCTGATAGCCCTACAACAAGGCTCCCTGTCCCCATGCTCACCTGCAGCAGGTGTCACAGAAGAACTTGTCGTTGCCGTTGAGAGTCTCTGTTGAGGAGAAGTTGCGCAGACAGCTGGTGACACTGCTGTTCTGCTCGATGTCTAAAGACAGGTCCAGGAAGGCCTCATCTCTAGCGGTTACCGTCTCACAGCACAGGCAGCGCGTCTCATTCGTCAGTGTGCCCTGAAGAGGGGGAAGGGAAGGTGGCAGGGGGAGAAGGATGTAGGAAGGAGGCGGTGTGAAGTTGCGCAAGCAGCTGGTGACGCTGCTGCTCTGCTCTATGTCTAACGACAGGTCAAGAAAGGCCTCGTCTCGAGCTGTGACTGTCTCACAGCATAGGCAGCACGTCTCATTAGTCAACGTGCCCTGGGAGAGACAAGGTGGCAAGGTGGGGTGAGGGGGAAGCAGGGAATATGAAGTTGCGCAAGCAGCTGGTGACACTGCTGTTCTGCTCGATGTCCAACGACAGATCCAAGAAGGCTTCATCCCGTGCTGTAACTGTCTCACAGCACAGGCAGCGCGTCTCATTCGTCAAGGTACCCTGGAGAGGGAGAAGGGAGGGTGGGAGGTGGCGGGTGAGGGAAGAGAGAAGGTCGTGGAGACAGGTGGTGACACTGCTGTTCTGCTCGATGTCTAGTGACAGGTCAAGAAAAGCTTCACCTCTAGCAGTCACTGTCTCGCAGCACACACCTGGAATATCTCATGCACCCAAGTCAAAACCGTCGATTTAGCCCCTCTGCCAACCCCACCAGCACTCCCAGCAGCACTCCCAAGGCTGACCCCCCAGCCCCAGCCGCAGCCCCAGCACATACAGGGATTGTCACACACTTTAGCAGCACGCACCTGGAATATCTCATGCACCCAAGTCAAAACCGTCAATTTCGCCCCTCTGCCAACCCCACCAGCACTCCCAGCAGCACTCCCAAGGCTGAACCCCCAGCCCCAGCCGCAGCCCCAGCACATACAGGGATGTCACACACTTTAGCAGCAAGCACCTGGAATATCTCATGAACCCATGTCACCACCGTTGGTTTCGCGTCTCCAGCACTCCCAGCTGCTGTTCCCCCCGCCCCAACCCCAGCTGCTGCCGCAGCAGCAGCAACAGATGCAGCAACAGCAGCAGACGCAGCAGTAGAACCCGAACTGGAGGGTATCCCTTCCGCTGCTGCTGCACTCGCCCCTCCCCCATCGCCCTCCCTCCCCTCCCCCGCTCCTTCACTCCCTCTCGCCCCTCCCTCCGACCGAACGGCAGCAACAGCAACACCACCACCATTTGAAGCACCCAGTGCAGCAGGGGCTGCAGCAGAAGCAGCAGCAGGCGGGTTGGGGTGGATGATCCTGCCGGCCTCTGCCCTGCCTGCCCGTGCTTCCTTCTCTAGAATATCGACCAGCTCGTTGAGAAGGAAATTGAGGAACTCGTGTGCGTCCTGCCAGGGATAGAGCGTTACGGTAGGGGGAAGCATCATGGCAGAACACGCGGGGAGAGCATGAGGGGAAGGGATGTGGGGAGGGGATGCAGGGAGAGGAGGTTGCCACTGCATTCAAGGGGCTTAAATGACAGTGAGTTCGAAAACATTCTCAAAGCCGCTCTGAATGGATCGCGACTGCATGCATGTGCTTGCTGTCATCGTTTGAGTTGACCTAATATTCGCCCAAGCACACGAGGCTGCACCTTCAGCCGGAGTATAATCGTTACACTCTGGCCGGAGGCGTGACTACACTTCATGCATAAGCCTTCAGATGGTGCAAGAATCTTGATAGACCTGGTGCCCGGATTCCCACTCACCTGGTGCATGTAGCTGCGGAACAGCTCCTTCTGCTTCTTTACTCGCTGCACGAAGCGGCGAGGCGCTATGACCCCTGTCTTGCGCTTCTGCGAGTTGATCTGCCAGGGGCCAAGCAGAGGGAGGAAGGCGTGGGGAAGAGGGAGAGTGCAATGAGGATAGGAAAAGATGTGGGTCAGATCAAAAGCACGAAATGACACGGCGCTATGACCCCTGTCCTCGGACTCCTTTGCAGGCTTGTGCTTGGCGTAGTAGCCTAAGGCCTGGGGCGCATGCAAGGCTGCAAAACACACACATCTGGTTGAAGAGCTCAGCAAGGCACGTGAGAAGCGTCTCCTCTGACTCGTTGGCTGGCTTGTGCTTGGCGTGGTAGTCCAGCAGGTGACTGGAGCACGCTAATAATGAGGCGCACCTGGTGCGCTGAGAGTGACCCACCTGCTGCAATGACCGTGAGACCCACCTGCTGCAATGACCGTGAGACCCACCTGCTGCAATGACCGTGAGACCCACCTGCTGCAACCGTGAGACCACACCTGCTGCAGACCACACCTGCTGCAATGACCGTGAGACACACCTGCTGCAATGACCGTGAGACCACCTGCTGCAATGACCGTGAGACACACCTGCTGCAATGACCGTGAGACACACCTGCTGCAATGACCGTGAGACACACCTGCTGCAATGACCGTGAGACACACCTGCTGCAATGACCGTGAGACACACCTGCTGCAATGACCGTGAGACCCACCTGCTGCAATGACCGTGAGACACACCTGCTGCAATGACCGTGAGACCCACCTGCTGCAATGACCGTGAGACACACCTGCTGCAATGACCGTGAGACACACCTGCTGCAATGACCGTGAGACACACCTGCTGCAATGACCGTGAGACACACCTGCTGCAATGACCGTGAGACCCACCTGCTGCAATGACCGTGAGACCCACCTGCTGCAATGACCGTGAGACCCACCTGCTGCAATGACCGTGAGACCCACCTGCTGCAATGACCGTGAGACCCACCTGCTGCAATGACCGTGAGACCCACCTGCTGCAATGACCGTGAGACCCACCTGCTGCAATGACCGTGAGACCCACCTGCTGCAATGACCGTGAGACCCACCTGCTGCAATGACCGTGAGACCCACCTGCTGCAATGACCGTGAGACCCACCTGCTGCAATGACCGTGAGACCCACCTGCTGCAATGACCGTGAGACCCACCTGCTGCAATGACCGTGAGACACACCTGCTGCAATGACCGTGAGACACACCTGCTGCAATGACCGTGAGACCCACCTGCTGCAATGACCGTGAGACACACCTGCTGCAATGACCGTGAGACCCACCTGCTGCAATGACCGTGAGACACACCTGCTGCAATGACCGTGAGACCCACCTGCTGCAATGACCGTGAGACCCACCTGCTGCAATGACCGTGAGACACACCTGCTGCAATGACCGTGAGACACACCTGCTGCAATGACCGTGAGACACACCTGCTGCAATGACCGTGAGACACACCTGCTGCAATGACCGTGAGACACACCTGCTGCAATGACCGTGAGACCCACCTGCTGCAATGACCGTGAGACCCACCTGCTGCAATGACCGTGAGACCCACCTGCTGCAATGACCGTGAGACCCACCTGCTGCAATGACCGTGAGACCCACCTGCTGCAATGACCGTGAGACCCACCTGCTGCAATGACCGTGAGACACACCTGCTGCAATGACCGTGAGACCCACCTGCTGCAATGACCGTGAGACCCACCTGCTGCAATGACCGTGAGACCCACCTGCTGCAATGACCGTGAGACCCACCTGCTGCAATGACCGTGAGACCCACCTGCTGCAATGACCGTGAGACCCACCTGCTGCAATGACCGTGAGACCCACCTGCTGCAATGACCGTGAGACCCACCTGCTGCAATGACCGTGAGACCCACCTGCTGCAATGACCGTGAGACCCACCTGCTGCAATGACCGTGAGACCCACCTGCTGCAATGACCGTGAGACCCACCTGCTGCAATGACCGTGAGACCCACCTGCTGCAATGACCGTGAGACCCACCTGCTGCAATGACCGTGAGACCCACCTGCTGCAATGACCGTGAGACCCACCTGCTGCAATGACCGTGAGACCCACCTGCTGCAATGACCGTGAGACCCACCTGCTGCAATGACCGTGAGACCCACCTGCTGCAATGACCGTGAGACCCACCTGCTGCAATGACCGTGAGACCCACCTGCTGCAATGACCGTGAGACCCACCTGCTGCAATGACCGTGAGACCCACCTGCTGCAATGACCGTGAGACCCACCTGCTGCAATGACCGTGAGACCCACCTGCTGCAATGACCGTGAGACCCACCTGCTGCAATGACCGTGAGACCCACCTGCTGCAATGACCGTGAGACCCACCTGCTGCAATGACCGTGAGACACACCTGCTGCAATGACCGTGAGACCCACCTGCTGCAATGACCGTGAGACCCACCTGCTGCAATGACCGTGAGACACACCTGCTGCAATGACCGTGAGACACACCTGCTGCAATGACCGTGAGACCCACCTGCTGCAATGACCGTGAGACCCACCTGCTGCAATGACCGTGAGACACACCTGCTGCAATGACCGTGAGACCCACCTGCTGCAATGACCGTGAGACCCACCTGCTGCAATGACCGTGAGACCCACCTGCTGCAATGACCGTGAGACACACCTGCTGCAATGACCGTGAGACCCACCTGCTGCAATGACCGTGAGACCCACCTGCTGCAATGACCGTGAGACCCACCTGCTGCAATGACCGTGAGACCCACCTGCTGCAATGACCGTGAGACCCACCTGCTGCAATGACCGTGAGACCCACCTGCTGCAATGACCGTGAGACCCACCTGCTGCAATGACCGTGAGACCCACCTGCTGCAATGACCGTGAGACCCACCTGCTGCAATGACCGTGAGACCCACCTGCTGCAATGACCGTGAGACCCACCTGCTGCAATGACCGTGAGACCCACCTGCTGCAATGACCGTGAGACCCACCTGCTGCAATGACCGTGAGACCCACCTGCTGCAATGACCGTGAGACCCACCTGCTGCAATGACCGTGAGACCCACCTGCTGCAATGACCGTGAGACCCACCTGCTGCAATGACCGTGAGACCCACCTGCTGCAATGACCGTGAGACCCACCTGCTGCAATGACCGTGAGACCCACCTGCTGCAATGACCGTGAGACCCACCTGCTGCAATGACCGTGAGACCCACCTGCTGCAATGACCGTGAGACCCACCTGCTGCAATGACCGTGAGACCCACCTGCTGCAATGACCGTGAGACCCACCTGCTGCAATGACCGTGAGACCCACCTGCTGCAATGACCGTGAGACCCACCTGCTGCAATGACCGTGAGACCCACCTGCTGCAATGACCGTGAGACCCACCTGCTGCAATGACCGTGAGACCCACCTGCTGCAATGACCGTGAGACCCACCTGCTGCAATGACCGTGAGACCCACCTGCTGCAATGACCGTGAGACCCACCTGCTGCAATGACCGTGAGACCCACCTGCTGCAATGACCGTGAGACCCACCTGCTGCAATGACCGTGAGACCCACCTGCTGCAATGACCGTGAGACCCACCTGCTGCAATGACCGTGAGACCCACCTGCTGCAATGACCGTGAGACCCACCTGCTGCAATGACCGTGAGACCCACCTGCTGCAATGACCGTGAGACCCACCTGCTGCAATGACCGTGAGACCCACCTGCTGCAATGACCGTGAGACCCACCTGCTGCAATGACCGTGAGACCCACCTGCTGCAATGACCGTGAGACCCACCTGCTGCAATGACCGTGAGACCCACCTGCTGCAATGACCGTGAGACCCACCTGCTGCAATGACCGTGAGACCCACCTGCTGCAATGACCGTGAGACACACCTGCTGCAATGACCGTGAGACCCACCTGCTGCAATGACCGTGAGACCCACCTGCTGCAATGACCGTGAGACACACCTGCTGCAATGACCGTGAGACACACCTGCTGCAATGACCGTGAGACCCACCTGCTGCAATGACCGTGAGACCCACCTGCTGCAATGACCGTGAGACACACCTGCTGCAATGACCGTGAGACCCACCTGCTGCAATGACCGTGAGACCCACCTGCTGCAATGACCGTGAGACACACCTGCTGCAATGACCGTGAGACCACCTGCTGCAATGACCGTGAGACCCACCTGCTGCAATGACCGTGAGACCCACCTGCTGCAATGACCGTGAGACCCACCTGCTGCAATGACCGTGAGACCCACCTGCTGCAATGACCGTGAGACCCACCTGCTGCAATGACCGTGAGACCCACCTGCTGCAATGACCGTGAGACCCACCTGCTGCAATGACCGTGAGACCCACCTGCTGCAATGACCGTGAGACCCACCTGCTGCAATGACCGTGAGACCCACCTGCTGCAATGACCGTGAGACCCACCTGCTGCAATGACCGTGAGACCCACCTGCTGCAATGACCGTGAGACCCACCTGCTGCAATGACCGTGAGACCCACCTGCTGCAATGACCGTGAGACCCACCTGCTGCAATGACCGTGAGACCCACCTGCTGCAATGACCGTGAGACCCACCTGCTGCAATGACCGTGAGACCCACCTGCTGCAATGACCGTGAGACCCACCTGCTGCAATGACCGTGAGACCCACCTGCTGCAATGACCGTGAGACCCACCTGCTGCAATGACCGTGAGACCCACCTGCTGCAATGACCGTGAGACCCACCTGCTGCAATGACCGTGAGACCCACCTGCTGCAATGACCGTGAGACCCACCTGCTGCAATGACCGTGAGACCCACCTGCTGCAATGACCGTGAGACCCACCTGCTGCAATGACCGTGAGACCCACCTGCTGCAATGACCGTGAGACCCACCTGCTGCAATGACCGTGAGACCCACCTGCTGCAATGACCGTGAGACCCACCTGCTGCAATGACCGTGAGACCCACCTGCTGCAATGACCGTGAGACCCACCTGCTGCAATGACCGTGAGACCCACCTGCTGCAATGACCGTGAGACCCACCTGC